CGTCTCCATCGAGGACTCCCTCCGACTTGCTTGTCTCCTCTCCAAGCAGCTCAGCCGCTCGCTCCCCGGCCCCGGTCGCCACTGACTTCCATCTGCGAGATGCCCAGCTCCTGGACAGGTTTAAGTCCATGCTACAGGCCGAACTTAAGATGGCCACTGATACGATCTCTGCCAACCTCTCAAGGGAGCTTAGGGACCTGGGCTTGCGTACCGACCTCCTAGAGACTAAGGTGGATGACACTACTCACGTGGTGAACGCTCATTCTGCCGCTCTCACCTCAATGCAAGCGGAACTCTCGACGGCGGTATCCAAGTTGGAAGACCTCGAAAATAGAGCGAGAAGGGGAAATCTGCAGATCCGTGGTGTGCCTGAACGAATAGAAGACTTACCTTCTACCATCACCGCACTCTTCCAAGAGCTCCAACCGGCGATCCCTATTGACCGCTTGGAATTTGATAGGGTCCACCGCTCCCTCGGCCCTAAATGCTCAGACGGCCTACCCAGAGATGTGCTAGTCAAGTTCACTTACTACCACACTAAAGACGCCATCTTCCAGGCCGCCAGAAAGGCACGCACCCTAATGTTCCAAGGCTTCACCTACGAGATCTATGCTGACCTCAGCCCCATCACCATCCAGAAGCGGAGAGCCCTCAAGCCTTTTCTGGCCATGCTACGCTCACACCAGATTAAATATGCCTGGGGCTACCTTTTTCGTCTAGTCTTCCAATATAATGGGAAATCTCACAACATCTCTACGCCGGAAGAAGCTTAACACTTGCTGTCCGATTTAGGCCTGGATCCCTCGCCTCCTAAACGGCTGAGTCCCTACCCTGATCGATTGTCTCCACGTCGCCTGACCCCTATCTGGACCCCGGTGACAGCTAAGAAGACGGCTCTTCTCTCCGTGGATCCTGCTCGTGGTCAGGCCTCCAATCCCACTTGATTCTGTGAGTATGGCCCTCACTGTTTCCACACTTCAGGCCGTTGCCTGCTACCTCGGTTCCAGTTGGACCACACACCGTGATCCGTTTCTCCATTGATGGACCGTGCCCCATGTTGAGGGGCTTCGGCCTCCAAATCCCTGTTCCAGTTTTCCCTTGGCCTCTGATGATTGCTCAGACACTTGGTTAGGCCTTGGAGGAGCCCCTTGCCTTTTGCCGGACCTCCCCCCAGCTCAGAATTGTCACTCATCATGCGGAACATCCGTTCTTTTTCCACAATACTTCCAGGATCTCACAGGACGATGGCGTCCCCCCTCCTCCACCCCGCCCCCCACAGGGCCGACCCATGCTCTACCCCCACTGATAGGGCCTTTCTGACCACGCTGTCCTCCCCAATGGCTACTCACCCAGCTCTTCACGAAGCTCTCGTTGCCGCTAATGGGACCTTACCCAGGACTGCCCCTCCCACCCTTCCCCTCGCATTACTTCCTAGCCGATGTTGGCCCAGGTGCCCAGGTGGGCAACCCACCCCACCATAACTGCACTTGAGATGCAGTTTGGTCCTTTATGGACGACCCTCACACGACGTGTCTTCCCCTTCCCTGCTCTTCTCTTCCTATTCTTACTCTCCCTCCTTTCTCTCCCTCTTGCTGCTGACGACTACCCCCGGGCTACCCTTGCGAATGGGGACACCCCATATTTTGCCATTCTGAACATTACTGGCTATCTCCTTCCCATTAATTCGTGATGGCCCCCTCCCCCCACAATCTGAAACTCATCTCCCACAACGTGCAGGGATTCAACACTCCAGGTAAACGCTCTAAAGCACTAGGCTATTACCACTCTTGCAAGGCTGACGTTTTGTTTTTACAGGAAACTAGATTTTCCGTGTCCTCTTGCCCTCGATACCTAGGCAAGCGCTATAATAACTTTTACGCAGCTAGCTTTAGCGAAAAAAAGAGGGGAGTGGTGATAGCCTTCCGCTCCAATTTGCCTTTTATTTGCCATAAACAAATTGCTGACCCCACTGGTCGCTACCTTATTCTCCAGGGCTCCCTGTACGATACAGATATCACTTTAGTATCATATTATGCGCCTAATACCTTCCAACATAGGTTCTTCTCCCACCTAATGCAACAAATTTCTCACCATAGTAAAGGTCTGACCATCCTAGCAGGGGACTCGAATGTAGTCTTGAACCCCTCAGTGGATAGGACAACCCCACCCACTGGTGCCGTCCCCCCTGAATAAGATGCAGCCCAATCCAAACTGATGCGATCCCTTTTAACGACCCATCGCATGATTGACCTGTGGCGTGAAATGCATCCAACATCCCGGGACTACACATATTACTCCTACCCACACGCAGTCTTTCGCAGGATCGACCACTTTTTGGTCCCACAACGCTCTCTAGCCTCCTTTCAGAAAGCTAACATCCTTTCTGTGCCCTGGTCAGATCATTCCCCCATCGTTGCGGAGTGCTCTACTATCCTCGGCCGTCCCCCACACTACCACTGGCGCCTAAATGAATCCCTCCTCTCCTCCGAGACCTCGCTCTCCACAATCCGCTCAGCTTTACAGTCATACTTTCGCCTGAATGAAGGCTCGGTCTCCTCCCCCGTCTCCCTTTGGGAGGCCCATAAGGCCACTATCAGAGGGGAGCTAATGAACCTAGCCTCCCACCTCAAGAAGTCCAGAACCGGTTGAATAACTACCCTGACCAACGACTTATTAGATTTAGAGAGCTCCTGGAAGTCCTCCCCCACGGCGGCCCTAAAAGCTCAAGTAGACTCCGCCAAGGTGGAGCTTAATCTACTCCATAATGAGAAAGCAGAAAGGGAACTACGCTGGAATAAGCTGTTTTTTTATATGCGGTCTAACAAACCGGGTCCTCTTCTAGCTAAACAACTCCGCATGCTACCCTCCACCAAACATGTGATTAAACTTCGAACCCCCCAACGCGGAGTCACGGCCAATCCCGCTACCATCGTAAAGCTTTTTCAAACTCATCTGATCTCAATCTACTTCCCCCCCCCCTTTTGATTCGGCTGCAGCTGATCGCCTCTTTAGTGACCTTCCTTTCTCAGCTTTCCCCTCCTCATGCCGAGACGACTTGGACTCGGACATAACAGAGGCAGAGGTCTTGGCTGCCATCGCCACCCTTAAATCAGCGAAATCTCCGGGCCCAGATGGCTTTTCCAACCTTTACTATAAAAAATTCAAAGATATCCTAGCCACTCACTTAGTACATGTCTTGTGGTAAACCAATCCAAATCTCTAGCCCTAAACATCTCCCTCCCCGCACCAGTAGTTGCCCATCTTCAAGCCAACTTCACCTTTGCTTGGGCCCAGCGTTCTCTCCCATACCTGGGCATCCATTTGTCTTCATCCTATGACTCCTTATACTCGGCAAACTATATACCCCTTTTCCATTCCCTTTAAAAACCTCTTGACCTCCTGGAATACCCTACCCATCTCCTGGCTAGGCCGCATATATGCGGTCAAGATGACCCTTCTTCCCAAATTACTCTACCTCTTTCGCACCCTCCCGGTAGCGATTCCAAATTTTGCCCTCAGGTCAATGCAAAACAGCGTCATGTCCTTTATATGGCGTGATAAACGCCCCAGGGTGGCCCGGAAAACGTTGTACTGTCATCGCCGCCAGGGGGGGTTGGGGGTCCCTGATCTCAAGAAATACTACCAGGCTGCACAAATTGCATCCATTGCCGCTCTTCATATCCAGTTAGATCCTCCTCTCTGGACCCTGTTAGAGATTCCGTATGTACACCCATGCTCGCTCTCCTCTATCCCGTGGCTCACCCCCATTCATCGCCCTTCACTTCTCAGCCCGATTCTCACCCACACCCTTCGGATATGGGACTCCACTAAATATACGGCTGCCTTAATTTCCCCTCATCTGCACCTTACTACTCTCATGGGGAACCCTATGTTTCCCCCGGCGATGGATAGTCCGTCGGCCTTTACATGGTGGCACACACACGGCTTTGCCACCCTCTCCAACTTCCTTCAAAACTGCTCCAATGGGACGCCATAGTAGCTAAAGCTCAGCCACCCCCTCGAGAAATTTTCCGATATATCCAAATCAGACACTGGATTCAATCCCTACTCCCTAAGCCCGCCACCCCCTTAACTCTCTCCCCTTTTGAGCGCATCTGCCTCCACACGCCTAATTCCCCGAAGCTCATCTCTCTCTTATACTCTCAGCTCAATGCTCTCTCCTCCACAGCCACCCACCGATATGTCTTGAATTGGCAACGGGATCTTCACCATACTAGGCCCTCTGAGGAGTGGGGATCAATTTGGAACGCCATCTCCAGGTGCTCCCGCAATATCACCACACAAGAGGCAGCCTATAAGGTACTCTCCAGATGGTACCTTGTGCCGTCATGCCTTTGCCACCTTCACCCAGCTAACTCTAGCAATTGCTTTAGGGGATGTCAAGCCTTGGGTGATGTTATGCACACATGGTGGACGTGCCCGTTTGTAGCCAGATTTTGGTCTAAGATATACAAGCTCCTCTCCTCCATCTTTAACACCCCTATTTCAAAAGATCCCTGGCAAGCCCTACTTCACTTTAAAATTCCACAACTCTCAAAGTCACAATGGCAGTTGGCCAACTTTATATTTTTAGCGGCTAAGCAAACCATAACTCATTCGTGGCGAAAGCAGGCGATTCCATATACAGAATTCCAACACCGTATGCAAGGTTTTTTCATCAATGAACACCTTTCCAGCATTTTAATAGACACAAGTAGGAAATTCCAAGTAGTATGCCCGTTGCACGGGTATTGTGGAACCCGGCTTTGGGGCGGCAGGGAGAGTAAATCCGGCCCTGCTGATAGTGTTTAATCTTGCCACCTTTCTGGCATTACTATTGGACCATCCCTATGGTGAGCTGCTTTAATGGCAGGAAGCACAGGCATGCTTTGACATCAAGCTTTGCTATGCATATAAAAATACAGAATTCCTATATTATTCCTGCAACTGTATTTGTGTGTATGTTTAGAAATATATCAATGTATTTTTGTGCAGATTACCAACGTTATATTGGTCTTTGATAAGATTGTTTTTTTTCAGATCACATTCAAAGTTAAGATAACAGCAAGAAAGTGTCTTCCGAATCAAAGTTTCTTAATTCGTCCACTGGGATTTACAGACAAAGTGGAAGTTAGCATCACAACTGCATGTGACTGTGACTGCAGGGATGAAGCAGAGCCTGGGGCCTGCAACGCCCAAGGGAACATTGTATGTGGGATCTGCAGGTAAATGTATGATGTTCGTATTTACATGATGAGGCTGATTTCTAAAAACAGAAGAAAAGTAACGAGGAAATCTGAGAAACTGCTGAAAGAAACAACAGAATATATAGTCGTCCGACAGTAGAATAAAAAGTTGTCACAGCCCGCCATGTTTCGCGATCGAAAGTCAGTGACATCCATGCTATATCTTTATAGAGTGATGGCAAACTTAGCAGCTGCTTCAAAACTACTTAAAATCAGACTTAAAGGTGAACTCCGGGGAAAAGAAAAATCCTCCTTTGCAGTGGTTCTCATTTTGCAAGGGATAAATGCTCATTTACACCTAGAGTGCCAGAAAAAAAAAAGCACTGTTACTTACCTGCTCCCCCAGCAGCCGTTGCTCCCCTATTCCCCCTGACACTCCAGGTTGTAGGAGGTTCCTTGGCGTTCTCATGTACTATGCAGGGGTCCGTGTACTTGATGACATCAGTGTGCCTGCGACCTCCAGAGTGCCTTAAGCCGAGTATACATGCTTTGAATCCTTGAAATTCACTGCGTGGGTAGCGATGTCGGCACTCTTTTCCGCCTGGCATCCCTCTATCAGCTGAAGATCAGTTGTTGTAAAATTCTCAGCTGAACGCAGATAGCAGTCAATCAGCAGGTGGACAAGGCTAGCAGCCCTATTGACTCACCTATTATAGTGATTTGACACGCTGCCACTGTAGGAGACTGCAACATAAGCAGCAGTGGCGTAACAATCGCCATAGCGACCCAGGCGGCCACTATGGGGCCCGAGGCACAGGGGGGCCATTGTCGCTATAGCATCTCAAGCTGCTGGCTGTCACTGGGGGTGTGAGGAGGAACGTGTCGCTGTTAGATCACCGACAACCTGTCAGTGATCTGTGCAGCGGCGCGTTCCTCCTCACAGCCGCTGCTAAGTCAGTGACAGCCAGCAGCTGTGGAGGAGAAGGCTGGGCCCGGCGTCAGCAGCGGAAGAGGAGGCAGGCCCGATGATGGAAGAGAAGGATGGTGGAATAGTCTATGGCGGGCTCTGCAGGGTCACCCTCAGGTGGGCTGTTTGGGATATCAGGTGGGCTCTGCAAGGGGCATTACTAGAAATCCCAGGGCCCCATACACAATTTTGCTATGGGGCACTGTGATTTCTAGTTATGCCCCTGATAAGCAGAGATGGCAGCTGACTATTCACCCTGCTGTTGCTGAAAAGTCAGTAAAATAAATATAATTGCTTTCTTTTACCTCTAGTATTAAAGGACTACAATAGGAAAAAATAAAAAAGATTTGTTGGCCAACTGCCCTTTATCTATAAAGCAGTTGCATTTGGCAGTGGGTGTATGTTGGCACTCTTGACTTCTACACTAGAGTGGTAGCACTTTCTGGCAATACTTTTAATGCAGATTACGTAAGTCATTGAACCAGAATGATAGCCAGGGAACTATTACCGCTATTTTCAGAAAGTTAGCAATGGCAGCTCCATACTTTCTCAGTAGAGGTTAAAGAGTTAGGGTTAGGTTATGTTATGGGGGCAGGTTATGGTTCAGGACTGGGTTAAGGATTAAGCATTAGTCAGATGTGATTTGTTATTATTAGGGTGTAGGATAAACTTTAGGGTTCAAATGAGAGTGTTATGTGGGTGAGCCTAAGCATTAGGCCAAGGTAATGGTTTAGCATATGTGGGTCAGTGTTTTTTTTTCCATTTTTTAATAAACATATCAAAACCTAATTTACTTTGATATCTTGCACACCTAATGGTTCCGCCAATTACCTTGTGGTATAATATGATAGATCAAACAATGCTTATGAAAAAATTATTATAGTGCATTTGGATTTCGATATTTGGGATACTATGAAAGAATTTAAGACACATGTGGATCACCTACAAGGAATGGTAGCCCCCTAATTTATTGCCATCTTTCTTTGATATAGGAATATTATATAGATTTAATGAAGTATTTTGGATTTGAGGAATCAATGTATCTTCTCGTCTTTTCTCTTTCCCTCTTGCCCTTCAACCCTCCCGCCTCCTTTTTTTTTGTAGATGATAATATTAGTAATGTTGATACTACTCTAATGAGCGTAATTTGGGTATGAAATGCTCTATTTTTTATCTTTTTTAATTTAGACTTTTGCAATAAAAAATCTAATGAATAAAAAAACTATAATACATATGAGTTTATAGTCTGAACTAACATATACAATTTAAAATTTCAGCTGTAACAAGGATCATGTGGGGAAAAGCTGTGAGTGTGTAACCGGTGGGAAAACAAATCAGGAACTAGAACAGAGCTGTAGAAAGGACAACAGCTCAGCCGTGTGCTCTGGAGCCGGGGAGTGCATATGTGGTCAATGTACCTGCAATCCAAATGAACCTCCAAAAAAGATCTATGGCCAATATTGCCAGTGTGACAACTGGAACTGTGAAATGTTTAACAATATGGTGTGCGGTGGACAAGGTGGGTGCTGTTTAATGCACATTTTTCTTATTGTTGCCCTGCCCTTGGCCAGCCGTGTCACTCTACTTCCCCCTAGAGTAGAGACAGAAAATCACTTTAACTTTCACATAGCTTCTCAAATGCAATATGTAATCTAATTTAACAAGCCCATGCTCAGTGAGCAGTTATTGTATATAGTGGGCAGTCTTAACATATGTATTATTCAGTCTGTTAGCGTACAGCATGCCAAAAATCACAAAAGATAAATATGAGAAATCTCTCTTGCTATTTTTTTTTTTACCTGTACATAAAAAAGTTTAAATATCAGTATTTATCTTTTTTATCCAGAAATGGTTAATGCAATGCAGATGACCTAACTATAGCCATAATAGCCCGGCTAAAAAGGCTACCCTGGTGTCTGATGTTGGGAGGGGGGCACCATTTGGGAGGCTGTGGAGGCATAAACATAGAAAATCTATGTAAATCTTAGTATAATACAGATCCATTAATAGTAAATTAAGTGGGATTCCCAAAAACTTATCACACATAAGTTTGCCTTGGGAATACAAAGGAGACTTATTGGTAGTGAAGTTGTTCCTAAGATTTTAAGTAGGGTCACACAGCAGATTCTGCCCTTACATGCAGGAAGAAGATAATGTGCAGGAATGCACAAAGCAGAACACATGGTTGGGTTTGTTCAGACCAAATATATAGATTACCATGTACCGTGGCAAATGTCCCCTTTGTCCCTCCTTAACAAAGACCGTGTTTAAGCAATCTGTGTTTAATCTGTATTCTAATACTGTTTAATTCACAGGGATATGTAACTGTGGCAACTGCATATGTAATAATGGCTATGAAGGAAGTGCATGTCAATGTCTTAAATCTACCAAGAACTGTAAAAACACCAGAGGAAGTATATGCAGTGGTCGGGGGAGGTGTGAGTGTAACAAATGTATTTGTAAGGAAGGGTATATCCTGCCATTCTGTGAGACCTGTCCTGGCTGCCCTTCTCAGTGTCCACGTTTTGGGTAGGTGTTCATGATTATCTCTTTACAAACACTGTATAGGGAAAACTGATGATCCCTGCTAAATCGCATTGTCAATCTTCTATTATGTTAAATAGCTCAATATTTTGCTTAATAAAAATATTATAAAATGTGCTTTTATACACAAGTCTACATTTATATACTGCACAAATGTATAGTTGAAAAAAATATAATATATGTGTGTATAATATA